TTTGAGAGTTGGAAGGGAACTCAGCATACATAATTCATTCCATTCACAGCTTGGTTCAACTTTATTGCTTCTTGTTCTATAATCTCTTTTAGAATTCTAGTATCTTGTTCTTTATTCTTCTTGTTCTACCTTCCAAAATCTTGACTATTGGCTGCATACCTCTTAGTGGATGAAAGCTTGTGGCTACATGGTATTCTAAGAATGAATCAAAGGACAGGTGTCTAGGAGATGATGGGAGCTAAATGATGGGAGAAGAGACTCTGAAAGGAGAGATTAAAGAGTAGCCAAGATAAATTTTGCCACTTGTTTGTGAAGTTTATCTATGAAAGCAAGGAAAAAAATAGCACGATAAATACAGGAAGATAGCAGAGCCAAGGAAAAGCTCTCAAGGAAAAGCTCTGTCAAAACAATGTTGACTTCACTATGTTTTAAAGGAGAGGGAAAGAAGGAGAGATTGAAGATGGATATGGATTAAGTACTTCAATAATTAGGGAAGATCTGTTGATGTAGGACCAGGGTGGGGAACGTGTGGCCTTGAGGCCACAAGTAGCCCTCTAGGTCCTCAATCATCTCCCTTTGACTGAATCCAAACATTACAGAAAAAAATGCTTTTATTAAGGGGATTTTTTCTGTAAAGTTTGGATTCAAAGGGCTGCACTTGAGGGCCCCTGATCTAGGACATCAGGGAGGGGTTAGCTTTTAATGACAAGTATTTATCAAGCCCCTTCTACAAATTCAAGGCATTGTGCTATGTCTGCAGTTACAAAGATGAGAATAAAAAAGTTTCTACCCTTAGAAGCTTACATTCTTCTGGTGGGTTATAGAGCTTACAAAATGAGGCAAGACACTATTGTCTTTAAAACTCAAAGAATGGAAGAACAGATGTTAAGAGAGAAATATGCTGAAATCAATATAAAAAAACAGAATCAATACAAGAAAGTGGTAGGCATATGAACGAACAAGGAGGGATAATACGAATGACAAAAAAAAATTGAAAGCTTTTTTCTCTTTTAAGGCATCAGAAAAATCCTTGGATATAAATTTCCCAAATCAACATGGGTTGACTCCCCTAATGCTGGCAGTGAGAGATGTTGACCTCTTTGAAAGCCTTGATATGTTAACAGAGTACAGGCCCATTGAACTTCTTTCAGAACTTCTCAAGCATAATGCGTGAGTATGAGTATGGTTAACTAAAGAATGCTGAAGAAACTGAAGAATTATTTATTACTGAAATGATTTACAAACTTAGGAACACTGAATTGTTTTGATTAAATGAAGAAAACCACTTCTTCATGTCAACTAAGCTATGCTTAGGATTATAGATTTAGAGGTAGGAATGGCCTTAGTTTTTGTCCAATTTTCCCATTTTACAAATGAGGAAACTAAAATCAGCAGCAATTGAGTGATTTGCCTAAAATCACATAGGTAGTAAGTGATAGAGTTAGGATTTGAAATCAGGTCCTTTGATTTCCTTTTCAGTGGGATTTCAGGGACAGCTAGGTGGTACAATGAACAGACTTAGAGTGAAGAAGACACCAGTTCAAATCTAGCTTCAAATATTTGCTATCTGTGTGATGCTAGGCAAGTCACTTAATCACTTTGTGCCTCAGTTTCCTCATCTGTAAAAATGGAGCTAGTAATAGCACCTACCTCCCAGAAAAATGAATAAATGTTTATTTATTATAAGGTTATATTTATTATAATGTTTATTTATGTTTATTTACCACCTACCTCCCAGGGTTGTTGCAAACCTTAAAGCACTATATAAATGCTATTGTTTATTATTGTTATTGCAATGCTTCTTCTCCAGGGCTCAAGTCATTAATCATCTCTGAGGTTTAGCTGTGAAATTCCTACCACTTTTCATTGTTGTTGTGGGATACAAATGATTTGCAACTTCTGTTTTGTAACATCCAGATTGTCACTAATTAGCTTACAGGGTGTTGTTGAATTGCTCAAACTTTCATTCCCTTACATTTAAGAATTAAGATATGCTTTTAGGAGGAGAGCTTCATAAAACTAAACAGTAGTAAAATATTGCAACTATAAAACTGAGAATCACTGGATTATTAAATAGCCTCTCTTAACTCAATTCTAATCAACAAGCAGTTTTTCAGCACCTACCATGTATCAGGCACACCTCTTGATTCTGGGGATACTAAGACAAAAATGACTTTTTATATCTTCTTGCTTCTGATCCTGGGTTTCCTGGCCTACGACAATTGACAACACAGATTTCTTTTTGAAATTAAGCTAACTTGTTTCTATCTCCCTGTTGTCTCAAGGCAATACAGTACAAAATTCCTACTCTAGGATTTAAGACCCTTCACAATCAAGCCTATTTTATATCATTCACCTTCTTTGATGAAATCAAAGTGTAGTCCACATCCTTCCTTCTCCCTGCCTTTCAGTACTCTACATTCAAGCCCAGCTGGGTTACTAGCTGGTTCCTTCATTTGACTTTCCATCTTCCACCTCTGCTCATCCACACAGTGCCCAGTGCCTAAAATGTCCTCCTTCCTCATCTCTGCCTTCACATCCTGATCTTCCTTCAAGCCCCTGCTCAGTTTCCACTTTCTCCTTGAAGTTTTCTAAGATTCCCCCCTTTTGTTAGTTCTCTCTCCCTCCTCAGTTTAATTTTCATTTTCCTCTCCGTGTACCTCTTGTGTCCCACAGTTGAATGCAAGCTCCTTGAGGCCAGGGATGGGCTACGTTTCCCCCTTTACATTCTTAGGACCTACTGCAGTAGCTTAATGGTTGTATAGTGGGTAATCCCTCTGTCCCTGAGCTACAAATGGAGGGATAAAGTCATCAGGCTCAGGTTTCTATTCTTCTCCTTATTTTCCTTGCGTTGTATTGATCTTAGCCTCTGGGCCTTGACTTATTTTACACTCCAAGTACCTGAAATGTCCATCCCTCCCTTCATTTCTGCCTTTTGAAACCTCTCCCTTCTTTCAAGGTAGAACTCAGATGCTACCTCTTGCAGTAAACCTTCCCTGATCACCTGAGCTGCATGGGATCCCTCTTCCATCAAATTTCACCCAACTCTTTTCAGGACCTCTCTCTTTTGCTAATATTTATACAATGCCTATTATGTGCCGGGCACTATGCTAAGCACTTTACAAATATTATTTCATTCAGTCCTCACAACAACCACGGGAGGTAGGTGCTATTGCTGTCCCCATTTTACAGATGAGGAAATTAAGGCAAGCAGAGGTTAAGTGACTATCCCACACAGCTAGGAAGTGTCTGAGGCTGGATATGAACTCAAGTCTTCCTGACTCCAAGCTCAGTGCTCTATCCACTGTGCCACCAAGCTACATTTGTATCTTAATCTGTATTAGAGTTATTTGTATACATATCTTGTCTCACCTGCTAGATTGTAAACTCCTTGAGGGCAGAGATTACTTCTTATTTCATCTTCATACTCCCCTCCAGCTCCCCACTCAATGCCAAGCACAGGTTCTTGTATGTAGTATGTACTTTTAAAATGTTTGTTGAATTGAATAATTGAATAACTAGCTGGCTGTTCTCAGTCTCATTTAGGATGCTCACTAGTAATATAGCTAACAGGAGCACCATCTGATTTTCTCTAGACAGTTAAACAATAATAAAAAATTTAATTCATAGTTTGAGAGAATAGAGTGGTAGTATAAGTATCACTACACCCATTTTACAGATAAGAATATTGAGAATCAAAAAGGTTATGTGATTTGCCCACAGTTATACATCTGGCAATCCAAGCTGGAAGTTGGATTTAAGTCTTCTGAATCTAAACCTAGTGTTTTTTTTTTTAACCCCACCACACTGCTTCCCTTCAAATCAGGAGTGATAAGGCAGCAAGGTAGCACAGTGAGTAGAGTTTTGTGCTTGGAGCCAGTAAACCCTGAGTTCAAATCTTACCTGAGAAACTTCCTGTATGTCTCTGGGCAAGTCACTTAATTTCTCTCAGCCTCAGTTTTCTCACCTGTAAAATGAGGGAATTAAATTCAGTGGATTCTATCCAGCTCTGAATCTATGATACTATAATCCTATGATAGGCAAAAATAGTAGAATGTGATGAATGCATGGGAGTTATAAATAATGTGCATTGAGAGCCCATAAGAGGGGAGAGCTTATTTCTAGCTGAGAGGATAAGGAACAACTTTATGGAAAAGAAAGCATTTGAGCTGGGCTATGCAGAATGAATAGTATTTCAACAGGCAAAGAAAAGGGAAAGAGGATAAGAGGGCACTCTAGGTCCTCTTAGATAAGGGCAAAAGAGAGGCTATCAAAAAATAACATGGAGGATGTTTCATAGTAGTTATAGTATGCAGAATACTTAAGAAGAAGTGTGATAAAAGGCTAGCTAAGAAGTACAGAACCAGGCTGGGGAATGCTCTGCATACTAGGAGAATAAATTTGGGCTATATCTCATAAGAACTGAGAGATTTTTTTAAAGTGCTTGAGAAAGGGAAGGATGAAATCAAATTTGTAAACTAGGAAGATAAATCTGGCAGCAATGAGTCAGATAGATTTGTGGAAATAGAGAGTTATACTAAGGAGAGGAATTTAGGAGGCTACTAATTTTATTTGTTCAGAGGAGACTATTGAGGACCTGAAGTAGGAATCGTAGAAAGGGGGGTAGATTTGAGAAGCATTACAGAGAAATTGAGTGAATGTGGTGCCATAGGAAGGAGTCAACAATGCCTTTAACAGAAAAAGGGAAGTCAGAAAAAGGGATAATTTTCAAAGGAAATATAATTAAAAACTATTACTACCCTGAAAAGTATATTTTGAAATGCTTGATTATTTTTTGATAACTTGAGTTTTCCTTTAAAAAAATGACACTGGCATATCAGTAAAATTCTTTCTTTCATTAGAATTAACTGAATAATCTTTTGTTTTTTTCTTTCTTCCTTTCTAGAGATCCCAAACTCTGTGACGTTAATGGAAAATCAGCCATGCATTATGTATCACAAATAAAAAGTTCAAAGAAGCAGCAATTACTGGACATACTGATGACTTCTTTACCCAAACCAGGTAAGCATTCATCCTTTATCCTTTATGTTAACTTTAAAAAAAAAGAAATCTGCTTAAAAAACTTTTTATGAACTTTTGCCACATATCTAATGAACTTATTTTAGTAAATCAAATAATATCAGTGATATTTATTGAATACCTACTGTATGCAAGATGTTGCAATGAGCCTATGATGGATACAGAGAAACACAGGATAAGGTCCTTGTTCTCAAGGAGATTAGCATCAGAGAGACAACAGATCATATGAAGAACTATATTTACAGTTTTTGGAGCACAAATTGCCCCCTCTATGGAAAGTGGTCCAACTCCTGAGTTCTTTATCATTTCTACATTTCTGAATCCCTTGCCTAAGTTCACAGAGCTAAAGCTTATTCTGCCCATACTCTGACCTCTAGCCCTGAAACCTTCTTGTAAAGAATCCAGTACCTTGTCCAGTTTACCAAGTAGGAACAGATTCTCCTTATGATGTGGGCAACAGGAAACACAGCTTCAGTGAGGCCAAACTAGGACAGCAGCTGTGTCGTATACTGTACTCTACTAGCAATACAAGACAACACCTGAAATATCACAGTGTAGTTCATAATTGCCAAGTAAATTATATAGTATTGGTTTCAGTTCAAAAGAAGGAATAATCTCTGTGGGTTAGAGTCATCTGAGGCTTCATCAAAGAGACGGAATATGAGTTAGGCCTTTAAGGATAAGAAGGACTTGCATGGGCAGAGAGAAAGGAGGAAGGCATTTACATAACAGGGAACGATGAGAAGAAAGGCAAGGTGGAGGGCTGGCTCCAAAGGCATGGAGGAGGCAGCATGGTGTAACATAGTACTGTCCCCAGAGGCAGGAGTTTTGTATCCAAGTTGCATTTTTCTCTGATGCTTTGCTTATAGATGTTCTTGAGTCATTTTCTTCTTCTGGATTTGTCCTGAGCTTCCTTGTTGCCATAATAACTCTTTATGGTTGGATTCTTTTTTTTTTTTTTCTCATTCTTCCAGCCTATTTCTTGACTTTGGGCTTTATGTTGAAGCTGAGTTCTGTGCCTTTCTGAGGGGAAAGTCTGGGCTGAACTTCTATCCTCTTGAGTTCTTTTTCTGCTGATTTCACAACTTAGAATGGGGAACTTTAAACTTTTCCGTCTCCCAAAGTGATGCAATCCAGGGCAAAATCTACTCACTGCCTTCTTGTTCTTAGCCCTGAAAATTCTTGACCCAGGTTTGGGACTGTCAGCTTGTCATTGGTTAGAAGTTTCAGTAGACAGCTACTGGACTTAGCCACTTGGAGACTCTGCAGGTTCAGAACAACTGAATTTTAAGCTCCCTCTTGGTCTGGGATGGTTATTCCACTGCAGGCTTCAACCTGGGCAGGAATATAGAACTGAGTCCCTGCTCTGCTCCTGTGGTTAGAGTCACATAGCTGCTCTGTTTCTTAACTTGTTCCTTGCTCAGTTTGCAGTTAGGGCACATGATTCTTTTTCTAACCCCCTTGGTGTAAGTCCCCTCCTCAGTCTACCCTAAATATATGACTTGGAGCTAGATAGTAGATGACAGAACTGCCAGATGGTGTATGTCCTCGAACCCTACACTAGTTCAGGAATCCCCTGGAATCTCTTTCTATCCTGTGGCCAGTCTCAGCCCTCTTTCATGCATGATGCTCCTGGCTGATCCCATCCGCACTGTTCACATTCTCCCCCTGTCTGTCTCCATAGACTTTCCTGGGCTGGGAAAATGACTCACTGTGACTTTTTCTTGGATTTTTCAATCAGAATTTGTTCTGGTTTTCTAGATCTTTGTAGAGGAAGAGTGATGAAGGACCTAGGCTGTACTGCTTACTGCTCCACCATCTTGACTTCACCTTATATTTTTGTCAAAGTCTGCATATATAGATGTGAGATTTTTTAAATTTTCATTATTCTGTTCAAAAATTATACTAATAGTTTCCCTAATGCTGAACCATCCTTGCCATACTGGCAATAAACCCAATTTAGTTCTAATTATTTAATTTGGGCTCTAATTAGCCTCTGATAACATTGTAGTTCTCTTTGTTTGATTTATTCCTACATGATTTTGTTATCACAATTATATTTGTCTCCTAGAAGGAATTTGGTAGAATTCCTTTTTTCTCAAATTTTAATAACTGTTTATGTGACATAGGAATTATTTGGTCTTTATACATTTTTTAGAGTTCAATTGTAAATCTGGTTCAGGAATTGTTTCTCCCTTCCCCACCTCCCTACCTTATCTTTATGAGAGTGAAGAATAGTGGGACAAATTGTGAAAGACTGGCAGCATCTGAGAGGATGAGTCCCTCTGTTTTTGCCCCAAGTTCTTAGACCCTTCAACTCCTCCTCCCTACACTTAGGCACCCCTGACCCACATTTCTGAGGTCCTTTGATAACCTTCCTCTTTCTGAAATGTTTTGGGCAAATCACTGATACCAAACTTTTTGAAGTTCTTTTGGAGATATTCCTTCTGCATGCCATGGATGACGGAAATTGGGAGACTGACAGGAATGTTTTTTTTGCTGCAAAAGTCTGTGCCTTGCCTAAGGCTTATTGGACTGAAGGCAAAGATTGCTTTATATTTATTACTCCCTATGCCTCCGCAAAGCTTGGCTGTGAGATTTCTGTATAAACAGGATTTTATTTTTTTTTAAATGAGCCACTAGAACAGAGAGGAGAAAATTATCTCAAGGGTATTTATTCAGAGCAAAAGAAAGTAAGGCATAGCAAGAGGAAGCACTGCCCATATTAGACTAATTGTTTTAGAAAAAGGACAATACCCTTGGTAGTCTGGCTGTTTTTTACATCTTCAATTCAACAGACATTTCTTAAGTGTCTGCTGAGTGCCAGGCACTGTGTTAAGTACTGGGGATATAAATAAGAAAAAGAAAGACAGTACCTTTCCTCAAGGAGCTTACAATCTAAAGAGGGAAGACTACACACAATAGGGGCATCTTGTTCCGTGGAGTTGAGACCAAGTAGAGCTGCAGATGGAAAGTGGAGTAAGCTGGAAAATACAAATCCTGCCCTCTATAAAGGAAAGTTTTGGGAAGAGTTTAGTGCTTCACCCTCTTGCCCTCTAATTGTATGGGAGATTCCATTAGCTAAATTGTCTGTGACCTCTCCTTGGTCTGAATGGTGCACCTCTAAATTTCTGTACCCTGGGGCAAAGCCCTATTTGCCTTTTCCTAGTTCCAACTCTGTTATCTGTCCTTCAAGATGTAGCTTATATCCTATTTCTTTCATACCTCCCATAATTTCCCTAGCCCTCTCTGATCTTGCTATTTTTTGAATTTCCATAGTACTTATAGTTAATAGCATATTATTTAGCACTTAATTGTGTTTTGTCTTGAACTATCATCTAATTATTTGAAGTTTATTCATTCTGTCTCTTTAACTGGATTGTAAGGTCCTTGTGGGCAGAAAATCGAGGTTCTACTTCTATTGTATTTCTTTCCTCAAAGAGCCTGATATAGAACTGGAGTCACAGCCTGGCATGCAAGAAGTATTTTTTTTAGGTGACATAGTAAATAAAGAGCTGAGCTTAGAGTTAGGAAGACCTGAGTTTGAATACTTCCTCAGACATTTAATAGTTCACTGATGATGAACAAGTCATTTAACTTCTCTCAGCAAAAGTTTCCTCATCTGGAAATGGGGATAAATAATGGCACCTACTTCAAAGAGTTTTCGTGAGAATCAAATAAGATAATATTTGTAAAGTACTTCACAAACCTTAAAGCACTATATAAATATTAGCTTTTATTCCTCAGAGTCCCAAAACTCAGTTTTCCTCAGTTTATGTCAGCTGTTATTTCTAGTCCTTTCTAGTCACAGCTCACCTTCTAGAACCATCTCCTATGTTCCTATGCCCTCTCCCACCCTGCCCCTGTTTCTGTGAATCCTGGTGTGTGGATACTACAGATCCTTCAAGCTTCCAAACTTGTCCATCACATTTCAAGGACTATGGGGAAATGGTGTTGATTTAGCTGTAAGAAGTACCTCCTGTGAGGCAGCTAGAGACATCAAAAAATTTTTAAATTAAAAATAAATAAAATTTTAAAATGTTAATATGCTCTTCATTGGCAGAAAGACATCCTGAATCCTTGCTTGACATTTGTTACGATGCAGATCCTTCTGAATCTGAAATGCTGATGACTGCCAAAAGCCAAAACATCATCTTGCAAAGCATTAGCAGCAGCGAGGTAAGGTGTTGCATTAAAAACAAACATCCATAACTGAGCTAATTTAAAATGTGAATGGAAAAGCAAATTAGAGATTGGATCCCAAAGCTTAATACATCAGGAAAGGTTCCTAATAATTCAGCAGTGGAGAAACTAATCTGAGTCACAACAAAAACACTGGGAAAAGAACCAAAGCTTTTGGTGGTTCAGTCCCAGATCATTAACTATTGTCTTATTTTTTTAATAAGTCAAATCTCTATGTCTAAAAATTCACATAGTCCATTTTCTGTGTGAGGGTGTTGAGTCAAATGAATATTAGAGAATAATAACGTAGTATCTCAGTGTGCTATTATGAAAACAAAAAATGACCATTCTCAAATTGTCAGTCATAAAGTTCTACCTGGCCCATTATTGGAGTAACAGCTTCCTATCAGCTCCTTGGCCATTATTTCAAAGCGTTATCCAAAATTTCTGGCATAAATGACTCTCTGACATCAAACATACCACCATAATTTCTCTCCTTATCACACAGCAGCATTGCCCAACTGGAATTGGCCACTTGGGTCCTGGGGGGCAGCTGCTACTACTCACAGATTGTTGTCCATCCTTTGTTCTGGAAAAGGACCAATGACATCAGGAGAGTGATGTCTTGACTTGCAAGTGAATTGGATTTAAGTGTGGCAGGGCTGTGCAAAGTCATCAGCCTCACTCTCTCCTCCAGCATCATTGGAGTCCAGTGGCAAGACATAGGTCAGGACTACTAGTGATGACCTAGGATGCAGTGGGAGACCTTGGCTTTTTGAGCTAAGGTCTTTCTCAGGTCTCAGTCTGTCTGAGGTGACACTCATTCAGTGATTAAAGGCTAGGTAAGAATTGAGGCAAAAGATGGTCTGGTTTGCCTTCACGAAAGAATCAGTCTGGGAAGGGAAGACCCTCAGAGTTTCTGGCCAGAATTTGACCAAAACAGAGAAATTATAGCTCAATTTTTGACAATTAAAAAAATTATATTCACAGAGTTGATTCATTTAAAAGCTTTTAAGTAGTTTGTGTTGGTCTGATTCCTATAAGTTAGACCACTTCATCAGATTTTACTTTGTAAATACTAATTATTATAATTGCAAAGTAATCCTTTTTTGTTCCAATTTTGGGCATAAAAATTTCATAGTAGACTCAGTAAAATGTGTATGGTTTCATTTTTTTCAGTATTGCTCTGAGGGGAAATGAAGGTCATAAGTTGATATCCAGTGATCAAATGAAAATACATTTACTTTTCCAAAAGTTTCATCTGACAAAAAGCTGACCTAGTAGGGTCACAAAATTTGCATCTAAAAGAAAACCTTTGATCCCATGACAATCCATTTATATGCTTAGTACCTCAAATTGAGGTCTAAATCATTAAAAAATTTAGGATAAAATTTTTACCATTAAATTACCATAATCCAGTGAAAATGTAGATTTACTAAGGTTAAATGAATTATTGACTGAGGCCATGGGTTAAGAGTTTGCCAGATAATGGTAGACTTTTCAAAGCACAGTGAAAGGACATGGTAGTGGTTTGGGGGTATATGAAACTGGAGGAATTAGAATCAGGAGACTGGGGTTCTGGTCCCAGTCTATTCACTAACATTTTGAACTTGGACAAGTCTAATCTCTCATAAGGCTATTGTGAGGATCAGATTAAAGAAGGAATGTGAAAATGTTTTGAAAATAAACACAGAATATTATTATAGTTAAACCTTTATGAATTAAAAAAATGGACTAGATATTTTTTATTTCATTAAACATTATTTATTATATTCATTAAACATTATTTCCCTATACTTTGTGACATAATTAAATTTCAATACTTAAAAAATCCACTGATTCATCATTGAATCAAAGAAGTTTGGAATTTCTGATATGGAATAGACCTCAGGAGTTTTCTAGTCTAATTCATTCCTAAAAAAGTATGAAAAACCTACAACATACTCCATAATCTTTGCTTAATGACCTCTTAATGAGGAGAAACCCATTATTTCCAGAGATTGCTTAGTTTTCTTTTGGATAGCTATGTTTGTTAGGAAGTTTTTCCTTTTAGTAGGCCTAAATCTGTCTCTTTTTCAGTATGGGTATTCTCCCTCCATTAATGCATATTTCAACCTCTTAATTGATGGTCTTTAAAGAGATGGTCTTGCTTTGGCCAAAGGTATTCATCACCTGTTGAAGAGCCTCTTGGAAGTTGGTTGGGCTGGTCTTTAGATGAAAGACAAATTTTTCATCCTTGGGCTCATGTGCTTGAAGCCTTTCCCGGTTTTCATAATTGAATCAAAAACAAAGAAAGGAAACAATCATAAATCCTGTCTGTGGAAATTACTAGATGAAACATCAAAACCTTGGGAAAGGGGTGAGGTGAAGGAAGTTTACTGTTTGAGGGGACTCTTAGGCAGAAAATACCATCTGGACTTAGGGCAGTGACTTTTATGAAGCTCTTCCCTTTAAACAGATGGCTAGCCCAGAATAGAAAAGCATCTTGACTCTGAAGACTTTTATGGAATCACTTTAATTACTATGTAGAACTGTTGTTGTTCAAGGGGTTGAGAAGAGAGTAAAGAAATTAGTAATCATTTCACTAATAGCAATTTTTAAAAGGAGTTTTACGAATGGGAAAAAATACCATTAAGAAAATATTCTTGGGGCAGCTAGGTGGTGCAGTGAATAGAGCACCAGCCCGGAAGTCAGAAGAACCTGAGTTCAAATCCGGCCTCAGACCAAACATTTGACACTTAACTAGTTGTGTGACCCTGGGCAAGTCACTTAACCCCAATTGCCTAAAAAAAAAAAAAACTCTTTCTTTAGAAGAGCCCAGAGTACTTCCTATATACAATGCTGCTCTGATTAGTCTGGTTTTTTATTTCATATGAGAGGCAGTATGGTATAGTAGATACAGAGCCAGCCTCAGAGCCTGGAGACCTGGATTCAAATCTGCCTCTGACGTGTAATTTGTGCCCCTGAACACTTAACTCCTGGTGTTCTAGGCATGTTTTTAAGATTCTAAGTTGCAGAGAAGGTGCTGACGTGCTTTGGTGGAAGGAATTTGATATATTGATGAAATCACTAGTGCAGCCCTAATTCTCATTTGTTAGACCAGTGGTGTCAAGCTCAAATAGAAACAGGGGCCACTAAACCATATGTAAGGATCCCTGCAGGGCCACCTATTACCTTAGAAAATCATGTATTAATATTACCTGTGCTTTATTGTTGTTTTTATTTATTTTGTTAAATATTTCCCAATTACATTTTAATCTGGTTCTCACACTTGAAAAGGTTGCAGGTCATGTGTTAGAGGATAAACCTGAATTCCAGAGAAGTTCTGTGATGATTTGTTTTGGTCAGATATTAAATCATACTTAAATCTGTTAGGAATCTGTCTAGCGCTGACTACCAGTCATTAGGTCTGAAGCTACCAGAACAGCTATTTATAACTGAGCCCAGAAGGTGAGGGGAGAGGAGGGAAATTGCTAACTAAACAACTTAGAAGTGCTTTCTCAGGGAGATGATTTTAAAAAAAAATCTGACACTTACGAATTTCTCACTGAAGGAAGCAAATGGATCTCATAGAACTGCCCACTTAAATCTCACTCATGGCAGCTAAGCAGCCCATATGCTGTAGAAATAAAATAGAAAATACTAATTTCAATGTGTCTGGGTGATTTTAGCACTGATCTCAATTCTTGCTTATGTGATTATATCACAGCTAGCAATCAATGTTTGCTCCAGGACAGTTGGACCCTTGACCAGTATTGTATCATTGAATCTAGAGTATCTGCTTAAGTTTGAAAGCTTAGTCCAGAGAAAAATCTACAAGTTCCATTCATCCAGTAAAAGAAAAAAAGTAAAAATAAAGCTTATTTTTTATAAATTTTCAGGAGTCTGACCAAGATGAAGATTTCAGTCATTCTACATGGACCAGTGAAGATGAAAGCCCATGTGAGGATGTACAGGATTATGGGAATAAGACAAAAGGTACGCTACCTACAAAATCATAGATAATAGAGTTATAACCAGATGTTAGAGATTATCTAACCCCTTCATTTTCTAGCTGAGGAAACTGGGGCCAGGTAAGGCTAAGGTCAAACAGGTAGAATCAGGATTTGAATGAAGATCCTTAATGTCTAGCACTTTCCATTACTCATTTTCAATCCATCCTCACATCCATGGGGAATCAGTGTACCTCATCACTGTCCCTCTCCCCCAAAATGAGATCTTTCCTTTCACCTTCCTCTCTATTTCATCCCACATAGATTCAGGCAGTAATTCTCTATTCTATATCTCTTATGCCTCATCACAAATTCTTTCTTTCTTTTTTTTCCCCAAATTCTAATCTGACCATCTAGTCTCCTGATCCTTTCCTAGTGGAATACAAATTGTCATCTTATTCATTCATCTTTTTTTATTATTATTTATGTTGTCCTGGGCCGTTTTCAAATGTACCCTGCTCACTCCAGTCCTCAAAAAAATTTAATGCAATCCACAAACTATGACCTCTATCTTTTACCATCAGTTCATCTGTAAACTTCTGGATAAGCTACTTATTCCAGGAGCTTCAAATTCTTCTTAGAACATCTTTCTTCCACTTCTACCACTTCAGACAAATTGCCTCCATTTATATCCCCAAAAGCACACGTTTTTAAGTAGATTCCTTTCTATTTCGTCATATTCATTCAGTATCTTCTTCACCACTTTCACTTGGTCTGGGCCCTAACCAAGCGCAAAAATTAATCTAAGCTCATTTAAAACCATTAGGATCATTGGTTTTGAAATGAGCTAAGTAGAATAAGGAAATCCCCTGACTAAGTAAAATCATAATAACTTTCAAAACCAAATTCTCAAAGCTTGCATGTCTTATAAGGAACTTCTCAGGGGTAAATTGCCCAATTTAGAGATAATATTTATTATTCATTAACAGCCCCCTTTTCGATGTGTTGTTACTTCATTTGGTTTTCAACAGGTAAATAGTCACACATAGGTCATAATGTGTAAAATATCTTTATAAAATCTTTTCTGTTGGACTTTTAAGTTCTGAAGATTTTAAATGTTTATTTTTTAAACTTTAATAAAAGATGACCTTTATCTAGGGCTTTAAAGTTTACAAAGCACTTTACATATCTAAGCTCATTTGATCTTCCCAGCAACTCTGAGAGGTAGGTACTAAATGTTTTATTTTTCCCCATTGTATAGCTGAGGAAACTGAGGCTCAAGAGAAGCTAAGTGATTTGGTAGGGTGGAGGAGTTAATAAATGCCAGACACTGGATTTGAACCTACATCTCTCTTGATTTCAAGCCCAGTCCTCTTTCTATGATACCATGGTGCCTCTTGAGTAACTTAGATTTTGGGCTAGGTAGGAAGATCAGCATTTGAGTTCCCAGTTTTACCACTTACTAATTGTGTACTCACACAATTACAATTAACTTTGCTGATGCCCAGTTTCCTTGTCTGTAAGATAGGAAAAGGTCTCAATGATTGGGCAAATTCCCAAGTTGAGAGTAAAGACAGCCCATCTGCAGCAGATAACTTGGTGTCTGAGTTGGGAGGAGAGAAATTGTGAGCTGGCGTCAGGGTGTCTAGAGCACCAAGACCAAAGGCCAATGGAAAGATTGGTTGCCAGAGTAAGAATTCAGGTCCGAGGAGTCTTGTTCAATCAGAAGGCCAAAATGTAGGGTGTGTAGGGGAGCTAAATGACCCTCCAAAGCATTCATCTTTTCATTAAAGCTATTTGTGTTCCCTGTTTATGATCATTTTCATGCCAACATAATCATGGGTGGGGTCTGGCAAGCCTCCTTATGACTCTGGCCATGGTTTCAGTCACTAATAATACTTTGCCTGTCTGTGGCCTGCTGACTTCACAGAGTGGCAAAACAAAACACAACACAACATAACACATAAAGACACTCTGCAAACTACTGATCAGAATAGAAGCTACACTTTTTGTCCTACTGAGGCTGGCATGAAACCTAAGGCTGTTCTAGTACTCAGATTATCTTTTGTCAAAAGGACATATTCCCAACCAAGTGGAAGAATTAAGAACTCATCTAAGTACCAATTATTCTCTCCCGTAAACTTTAGTGCCAGGTGCAAACTGGCCCTTGTCCTGTTCTTCCTGCACAACGCTCCATCTCTCATCTCTGTGTCTTTGTATTGGCAGTGTTCCATGTGATGCTTCCACATCTCCACCTCCACCTCCTTTAAGACTCAAGTCAAGGTCACCTTCTGCTTGTGGCCTTCACTGGCCCTTAGTAAAGCTGCTCATGCCTTTCCCACCCAAAGTCACCTTGCATCTCTTTTATATATGTTACTATTTGTCCATGTTCTTCCTCTGTTTGAAGGAAAGTTCCTTGAGGGCAGTGACTGTTTCACTTTCATCTTTGGATTCCCTAGCATGTTGCTTAGTACACAGTAGGCACTTAATATTAAGATGCTTGTTGATTGATTCTTTGATTGACTTTGTGTGGGAAAGGGGATCTCCTAAAATTAACTCAGCATGATTTTATTTTTTTTGTGACCTAGAACTATGATTTCAACAGTATGGAGTAACTCATTATGAGGCACTCTCTGCGTGAAATCTCCCTGCACAGATGCAGATAAGCAGGTGTGAATGTAATTTAGGATTAGAGTACTGACAGGGTCATTGAGAAGTCAATCACTTGCCCATGGTCAGACAGTACATGGCAGTCAGGTGTTCAGCCTAGGTCTTCTTAATTTCCAGGTTGGCTCTAACTACTATGCATACTACCTCTTGTCAGTCTGTGAAGTTGACATGACTTGGGAAGACGCGAAAGTGGAATTACAGTATCTCAGAAAGAAAAGAAAAAGGAACAAAGAAAGGAAAAAAAACCTAGCTAGCCAAGCTGCTTCTTTAGGACATGACAAACAGGAAGAGAAAGTGGGGCATTCAGGAAAGGTCAGGATATCTATTAATTCCAGATTTTCTCCCCAGTGTCTAGATTGAGGCATCCAGTCATAAACTGCAGACAGTTACTGGGGCAAGTCCATGAACTTAAAGGTTACCCTTAGGTCACTTAGATTAGGCTGACTTTAATAGTTAGACAGCATTTTCCTGGGCCTGAGAGCATACAATTTGTGGGAAAAGGAGGAGAGTAAAGGTACTTCACTTCAAACCACAGGAAAAGGACATTTTAAAAATGGAAGTAGCTAAACTGGCTCATGTACCCCTCTTAAATTCCATTTTATTAAATTAAGCCCAACATTCTATCTTTTTTTGAGGCAATCAGGGTTAAGAGACTTGACCAGGGTCACACAGCTAGTAAGTATCTGAGGCTGGATTTGAACCCAGGTCCTTCTGACTTCAGAGCTGGTGCTCTATCCACTCTGCTACCTGACTGCCCCAAGGCCAACATTTTAGCTTATTTTTGGATCCTGACATTGTCATCCAGTGTGTTGGCTATCCATCTCAGATTTATGCCATTTACTAATTTCATGAGTGTGCCATTTATGCTTTCATCCAAGTCATTGGTAAAAATGACACAGAAATCATCCTTAGTACAGAGCATCGCTAGAGGCTGCATCACTAGAGGCTCTGGAAGAAACTTACATATAAGAAAAGCTGAAGTCCTGGAAACTTAGACATACTTGGACATGCAACTTATGCCTCCAGCATTCTCAGATCAGTCAGTCAATTGACAGACATTCATTATGTGCCAGCAACTGTGCTAGTATCTGAGGATTCAGATAAATAAAAGTTCTTACCTTTAGGGACCTTTCATTCTACTGGAGAAACAACATGTACCTATAAAGTTTATACAAAATGAATTCAAGGTGATTAATTATTGATGGGGAGACACTAGCCACTACGGGGAGCAGAAAAGGGCATGTAGAAAGTAGCATTTGAGCTGAACTTCAAAATAAACTGGGGATTCTAAGAGGCAGAGGTGAGCAGGGAGTATGTTCCGGGCATGAGGGGTGGACTGTTCAAAAGCTTAAAGATCATAGATGGAGTGTGTGCCGGTCCAAACCGCGCACTCTCTTTCAGCCAGATCAGCCAACCAGGGTCATACTCACTGGTCCTCGGAGGCCACCCGGATTTACCAGAGACGAGCCGACCAGGGGGTGCAAAAACCTGAACTTTATTCAATGATCATCACAGCAAGGCCAGGCAGGAAACTACACGCGCACAAGCAGGAGCAAAAGCCGACTCCGCCCCCCATCCCTGCAGTTCTTTTAAGTCTTCCACGTCCCTCCTCCTCAGCCCGCCCATAGTGACTTGTCGTAGGATCAAATATCAGAAGGGGATGTCTAGCATAGTGCCCAGACAAAGGGAGCATACGTGGCACAGGAAGTGGGGCCTAGATATTTGGAAGGAGGCATGGGGGATCAGTGCATAGACAAAGGAGAATGTACGTGAAGCAGGAAGTCGGGTACAGATATCGGGGGGAGGTGTCTGGGGTCAGTGCTATACCTAGGGAGCATACGTGACTCAGGAAGTCAGGTTTGGTCACAAGAAGGAGGTGTCTGGGGTCAGTGTAGTACCTAAAGAAGGAGGCTAGACAGAGAGAGCTTGTTCTTTGCCGTCCCCCTCCCAAGTGGCACAGTCCCTGCCTCAGGAGTACGTGCTCTGGCTACTTCCTTGTACCCCGCTTCCTCCCCAGCCTGTCACAGCTCCACATAGCACCACTCCAGTCTCGGGAGCGTGAGCTCCGGTTACCTCTCTGAATCCAGATTCCATCCCAGTACGCCACAACTCCACCCAGCACCGCCTCTGCCTCAGGAGTAAGAGCTCCGGTCACTTCCTAATACCCAGTTCCCGTCCCATGTTGGCACAACTCCGACTTGGCAGTAGCTAGCACCAGACAATCCCTCACAGAGTGTCCTTTGTTATCAAGGTAGACCCAACATAACTCAATTGATTGACCACCAAATAGAGACTCAGCTCATTGATTATTAAGGTATAATCATCTCTCCTTAGAGTCTTTCCCTGTGATCTTCCACCCCATTTCACTCTCTAAAT